TAAAAATACAAAAATTAGTCAGACATAGTGGTGCACAACTGCAATCCCAGCTACTTGGGAGGCTGAGGCATGAGAATCACTTGAACTCAAGAGGCAGAGGTTGTGGTGAGTCAAGATCATGCCACTGCACACAGGCCTGGGTGACAGAGCAAGACCCCGTCTCAAAAAAAATAGTAGTAAGAAAAGAAAAAAAAACAGGAGGAGGGGGGCAGGGGGAGGGGAAGGAGGAAGGCAGGAGCAGTGGCTCACGCCTATAATCCTAGCACTCTGGAAGGCCAAGGCGGCTGGATCACCTGAGGTCAGAAGTTGAAGACTAGCCCGGCCAATATGGCAAAACCCTCTCTATACTAAAAATTTAAAAGAAAATTAGCCGGGCGTGGTGGTGGGCACCTGTAATCCCAGCTATTTCGGAGGCTGGGGCAGGAGAATCAGTAAAACGCTGAGGGTGGAGGTTGCAGTGAAGCCAAGATCGCGCCACTGCACTCCAGTCTGGGAGAGACAGAGAGATTCTGTCTCAGAAACAAAACAACAACGAAAAACATTTATAGAACACAAGACTCAAAAACTGCACGAAACATGTCCTTTTCAACTAGTACAAGTAAAGGTTCACCAAAATAGACTGTATGTTGGGCAATAAAACAAGTGTGAATTAATTTCAAAATACTGAAATTATAATGAATGTTTTTTTTTTCTTTTGAGTCAGGGTCTCACTCCCTAGACCAGGCTGCAGTACAGTGATGCGATCACGGCCCACTGAAGCAAGCCTCAACGTCCTTGGTTTCAGCAATCATTCCACCCAATAGCTAATACTACAGGGAAACACCACCATGCCCAGCTCTGCCACAGATTTTAACTAGAAATTAACTATAAAATAAGCCAGGCATGGTGGTCTGCACTTTGGGAGGCTGAGGCGCGCAGATTGCTTGAGCTCAGGAGTTTGACACCAGCTTGGGCAATATGGCAAGACCGTGTCTCTACAATGAATAAAAATCCGGCAAATGTGGTGGTAGGCAACTGTATCACAGCTACCCAAGCAGCAGAGGTAGGAGAATCACTTGAGTGTGCAGTGAGTCGTGATTGTGTCAATGCACTCCAGCCTGGGCGACACAGCGAGAGACCATGACTTTTTTTCTTTTTTAAGACAGAGTCTGGCTCTGTCACGGAGACTGGAATGCAGTGTCTGATCTCAGTTCACTGCAACCTCTGCCTCCCAGGTTCAAGCAATTCTCCTGCCTCAGCCTCTTGAAGAGCTGAGATTACAGGCACATGCAACCATGCCTGGTTAATATTTGTATTTTTAGTAAAGAAGGGGTTTCAGCATGTTAGCCAGGCTGGTCGTGAACTCCTGACCTCAAGTGATCCACCTCAGCCTCTGAAAATGCTGGGATTACAGGCATGAGCTACTGCACCTGGCTGAAACCCAAAATTTTTTTCTTTAAAAAAAAAAAAAATTCCAAACATTTTTTATGAGGCCAGCAGAGCAAAACCTAATGAGGAAATGCTAAGAACACAAAGTTAAAGATCAGTATCCTCCACAAATACAGACTAAAATAATCCTTTAAAAGTATATTAAACAATTAGGACTGGCATGGTGACTCATGCCTGTAATCACAGCACTTTGGGAAGCCAAAGCAGGCAGATCACAAGGTCGGGAGATTGAGACCATCCTTGCTAACATGGTGAAACCCTGTCTCTACTAAAAGGACAAAAAAATTAGCTGGGCATGGTGGCACGCACCTGTAATCCCAGCTATTCAGGAGTTTGAGGCAGAAGAATTGCTTGAACCCAGGAGTTGGATGTTGCAGTGAGCAGAGATCGTGCCACTGCACTCCAGCCTGGGAGAAGGGAGGAGGGGAGTGAGAGGGGGAGACAGAAAAAAGAGAAGAGAAGAGAAGAGAAGAAAGGAAAGGAAAAAAGAAAGGGAAAGGGAAAGGAGGGAGGGAGGGAAAGAAAAAAGAGAAAAAGAAAAAGAAAAGAGAGAGAGGGAAAAAACACATTTGCAACACTAATGCAGGCAAAAAATTTCCTAGGACACAAGAAAAGTTAACAGCACCTGCCCTCCAAAAAAAGCATTAAGAAAATGAAAATCCAAGCAACTGTGAATAGGTGCTTGAATTGCTTATACTTAAATTTAGAAAAATCAAATGCTTGAATCAAATAAATTCACTAGAAAACAGAAAACCAATAAAAAGGACAAGTACTAATTCTCCCGCTTATTATTTTTTCATCCCTTAATCCCTCCATCTGGAGGTCAAGAACTGCTTGGGATTCTTTCCTTGCATCTTTTTCACCTTTAGCCTTAGTGCTTTAGTCTACGACCAGACAACACACCATCAGCTCAGTGCAAAATACAGACAGATCAATGCTGATAAGCCTAGCTTCTCCTGGTATTAATCGCACTAATATATGTACATATATATACATAGACCACCCAGTGCCCATCTGAATCACTTTATCAGTTGCTCTGTGTTTAGTGCCATATAAACCATATAGTCTTTTCCTAATTTTAACTGTATGCTTCCTGAGTTTTAGTAACTCATCTTACTTTTATATAAAACATCCAGATAGCTTCCTATATTTTAGAAATTTCTCAATAATGGCAAATAATGTTCCGGTTTTCCTCGGCCCTTTTTTAATAGTCTTTTCCGCCAATGCACAAGTTTAGCACAGGAGAGACAGTTATATGCTTGGTATACATCTTAATCTAAATCCTAGACCTTTTTTCTACTTTTCATTATTTTTAATGCTCCCAGAATAGTAAAATACAAAAAAGGTACCTTATCATTTACTACAATCCTCCACATTAGACTGTTTTGACAAAACTGTAATTAAGCTTCTAATAGAATATTAGATTCTATTATAACCAGAAAGGGTTCTAATTTCTCCTGTAATTTCATTTCAGTAAAGTATAAAAAAAAAAAAAAAAACAAAAACCTACAAAAAAAAAAAAAAAAAAAAAAAAAAAAAAAAAAAAAAAAAAAAAAAAAAAAAAAAAAAAACCTAAAAACCTACTAACAACTTTAATGACTTAGTTTCTAGTCCCCAAATTTTAAATCTCCACTTTCTAGACCCCAGTAAACTTTGTAAACTCAGATGATTCGTATGAGAGCTATAATGCACCAACTGATGATTATGTATAGTCTCTTATTACAAGATGCTCCCATAAAGATGGGTGGAAAGGGTTAATAAATAAATAAAATGACTATCATAGGTCTTTACTTTTTAAAGTATGCTGCAGCTTATTTTTTGAAAATCTAATTACTGTCTCACTGAGGACACAAATATTGAATGGTCAATAAAAAATACCTTATTAATATTTAAAAAACATTTTGGATTTTCTGTTTTTGAGATGGAGTCTCAACCTGTTGCCCGGGCTGGAGTACAGTGGCGAAATCTCAGCTCACTACAACCTCCACCTCCTGGGTTCCAGCAATTCTCCTTCCTCAGCCGCCTGAGTAGCTCGGATTACAGGTGTACACCACCATGCCCAGTTAATTTCTGTATTTTTAGTAGGGATGGGATTTCACTATGTTGGCCAGGCTGATCTTGAACTCCTGGCCTCAAGTAATCCGCCTGCCTCAGCCTCCCAAAGTGCTGGGGTTACAGGTGTAAGCCACCATGCCCAGTCCACTTTGAATTTAATTACATTACATAGAAGTTAGGCCAGAATTTACATGATTGGTAACTAAGGTTCATCACACTTAGAAAAAATTCATTACTGGATATCTTCAAATATGCATTCACATAAAGCAATTCCTAGAGATTTCAATAGGTTAAATTGTATATAGGTATGTACACCACTTTTTCATAAGAATATGATTCTGTTGCAATTTAAAAACCATTAATTTTGGCCAGCATGCTGGCTCACCCCGCTGTAATTACACCCCTGTAATCCCAGCACTATGGAAGCCGAGGTGGGCAGATCATGAGGTCAGGAGATCAAGACCAACATGACGAGCACAATGAAACCCTGTCTCTACTAAAAATACAAAAATTAGCCATGCATGGTGGCACATGCCTGTAGTCCCAGTTACTTCGGAGGCTGAGGCAAGAGAATCGCTTGAACCCAGGAGGTGGAGGCTGCAGTGAGCTGAGATCATGCCACTGCACTCCAGCCTGAGTGACCGAGCAAGACTCTGTTTCCAAAAAAAAAAAAAACCCAACACAAAACCATTAATTTTAAAATATTACTAAATTTAGAGAAGTTTTTGGTTGCTGTATGTTTTCTCGATAAATATTCAAATAATTAAAGAAAATTCAAAAAAGATATCCTTAAGAAGGACAATCTATTCATATTTGAAAATCATGAACTGTGGACCCACAGCAAACAATGAATTATCCCATGGCGTTGCTGAGAATTACTAAATTAAATCTAACATTCTCATGCAGAAGAATACAAACCATTTTTGGGGAGTACTACTTCTTCTATATTGGGTACAGGTGTTGGGTCTTCCATATCCTTGGTTAGATCTTCTTGTTCATCTTCCTCTTTCTGACTTCTACGCTTCCCATAAAGGCTAGCTTGGCTAAAACATACAACATATATGAAATATAAACCAGACTGATTATGGCTACTTACAGTAAACAGTTTCTGAGGCTCTACACCTTCATTATTTGTAAACTATATGCTCAAAATCACTTTAAAAGACAAACAATATGCTGGTCACGAAGGTTCATGTCTGGAATTCCAGTACTTTGAGAGGCCAACGTGGGTGGATCACTTGAGGTCAGGAGTTTGAGATCACCCTGCAAACATGGCGAATTTCCATCTCTACTAAAAATATAAAAATTAGCCAGACATGGTGGCAGGAACCTATAATCCCAGCTACTCAGCAGGCTGAAGCAGGAGAATCGCTTGAACCCAGGAGGTGGAAGCTGCAGTGAGCTGAGTGTGTGCTAGCGTACTCCTGCCTAGGTAACAGACCAAGACTTCATCTAAAGTAAGTTTTAAAAATAAAAAAGGAAGGCTGGGCATAGTGGCTCACGCCTGTAATCCCGGTACTTTGGGAGGCCGAGGCAGGCAGATTACCTGAGGTCAGGAGTTCGAGACCAGCCTGGCCAACAGGGTGAAACCCTGTCTCTAATAAAAATACATAAGGTAAGCGCGGTGGCTCACACCTGTAATCCCAGCACTTTGGGAGGCCGAGGCGGGAGAATCACCTGAGGTCAGGAATTTGATACAAGCCTGTCCAACATGGAGAAACCCCATCTTACTAAAAATACAAAACAATTAGCTGGGCATGGTGGCAGCTGCCTGTAATCCCAGCCACTGGGGAGGCTGAGGTAGGAGAATCCTTTGAAGCCCCTAGGCAGAGTTTGCAGTAAGCTAAAATCATGCCACTGGACTCCAGTCTGGGTGACAGAGTGAGACTCCATCTCAAAAACAAACAAACAAACAAACAAAAAAAACCCACAAGACTTAGCCAGGCATGGTGGCACCTGCCTATAATCCCAGCTACTTGGTAGGCTGGAGGCAGGGGAATTGCTCGAGCCGGGGCAACAGAGGTTGCAGTGAGCTCATATAATCCCACTGCAATTGAGCCTGGCTGCTAGAGCAAGACTTGGTCTCATTAAAAAATAATAAAAAAATTAAATTTACAAGGTAAACACTGAAAAGAAAATATTAGGTAATTTCCTCCAAATTACATCTAACCAGCCAATAAAATAAAAATAAAAGTTAACGGGCATTTAAAAATGCAAAATATCCTACCAGGCAATTGTAGACACTATCACAAAAAGAACTTAAATTAGTGTAATAAAAGAACATTTGCTAAGGAAATATGACATATTCTCTCTCAAATTATAAGCAATCACATATGTGATCAAAGATATGTATCATTTTGTTTTTCTGGCCCTTTTATCATCCAAATATCAGGAACTCCAAGTAGAATCCCTAAATATAGTACTAATTCTTCTGTATAAAAACTTCCGCCAGCCAGGGTGGCTCAGGTCTGTAATCTCAGCACTTTGGGAGGCCAGGGTGAGTGGATCCCCTGAGGTCAGGAGTTCCAGACCAGCCTGACCAACATGGAGAAACCCCATCTGTACTAAAAATACAAAATTAGCCAGGCATGGTGGTGCATGCCTGCAATCCCAGCTACTCGGGAGGCTTAGGCAGGAGAATCACTTGAACCCAGGAGGCAGAGGTTGTAGAAATCACAGCATTACACTCCAGCTTGGGCAACAAGAGCAAAACTCCTTCTAAAAAAAATAAAAATAAAAATAAAAAAATAGGGTGGGGGTGGGGTCTGAGTAAAAAAAGAAAAAAGAAAAACTTCCATTGCTCTTACGCCAAAAATTCAATCAAATCAGTATTAATTTGTAAAACTAATAAATGCCATAGGGCTCAAAAAAAAGAAACCAGTAGATTCTTTACCTTCAGGAATTACAAAGTATACAGGACAGCAATTCTTACACCTCACATAACATGATTCATACCAACACAGAGAAATACCACAGAAGTATTTCTTAACCTGAGGTGATCTACCTGTCTCGGCCTCACAAAGTGCTGGGATTACAGGTATAAGCCACTGCGTCCAGCCTGTTTTAATGCCCTTTGAATCATGTAATAGTTCTTACCCTTTCTTTCCACTCTTCTTCCGTGATTCTGTTGGTGTAGGAGGGGGAGGCGAAGGCGAATGTTTCCTCTTTCTAGCATTAGCTGATGCTTTTCTATCTCTTCTTTCTGGACTTCTGACTGGCTAGCAAGAAGTAAATGGAAATAAATATCAACTATCTTTGCTAACTCCTCAATTTCTACAAATCCATGACCAAATGTTGAGTCTCCACACACGAAGACAACAGCATATCCTTAATTCAGAGCAAATGAAAAGAATATCATTAATCATCCAGGAACACCAGTAATCAAAAGACTTTCCCTGACCTTTCAGGTGACCTATATCATCAATGCAAATATCGGCCTCAGTTATTCAAACTACGCTACAACAGACATGCCAAAACCATGCACAACTAAAAACTGTTACTGTTCACATTCTATGTTTTGAGGTGGGAAACACATTTCAATAGCTACTAGAAAAAATATGAAATGAAATATACTCTATTAAGCTGACAAAATACAAAGACAGGCCAAATGATCCTGTGAAAATATAGAACTATAGAAATTAATCTTATTTAATCTTAAAATAAATAGAAAAGATAACTTTATGTCATAACAGATGTTAAGCAAGACGGCAACATCATTTAAAAGCCAACTCGTAGGCTGGGTGCCATGGCTCGTGCCTGTGATCCTAGTAGGGAGGCCGAGGCGGGAAGACCACTTGAGACAAAGAGTTCAAGATCAACCTGTCCAATACAGGGAAACTCTGTCTCTACTAAAAATACAAAAAATTAGCTGGGTATGGTGGCACGTGCCTGTACTCCCAGCTACTCAGGAGGCTGAGACAAGAACTGCTTGAAGTTGGTAGGCAAAGGTTGCACTGAGCTGTGATCATGCAACTGTACTCCAGCCTGGGTGACAGAGCAAGACTCCGTCCCAAAGAAGGAAAAAAAGTCAACCTTTGTAAGTAAAACTATCCCTACTTGCAGATGGTACAATTTTATACATAAAAAACCCCTAATTGATAAAACAACAACAACAAAAAAAAACCTACTAGATCTAATGAGCAAGTTCAGGAAAGATTCAAGACACAAGATCAACATTCAAAAGTAAACCTGCAGGCCGGGCGCGGTGGCTCATGCCTATAATCCCAGCACTTTGGGAGGCCGAGGCGGGTGGATCACGAGGTCAAGAGATCGAGACCATCCTGGTCAACATGGTGAAACCCCCGTCTCTACTAAAAATACAAAAAATCAGCTGGGCATGGTGGCGCGTGCCTGTAATCCCAGCTACTCAGGAGGTTGAGGCAGAATTGCCTGAACCCAGGAGGCGGAGGTTGCGGTGAGCCGAGATGACGCCATTGCACTCCAGCCTGGGTAACATGAGTGAAACTCCGTCTCAAAAAAAAAAAAAAAGTAAACCTGCAGACAGTAACTACCAATTTAATGAACAGATGATCATAAAGAGAAAAAAAACACCTAAATGATCTAAAGTGCTAGATTAGGTAAAGGCATTCAGAGATATAGGTAAATAATTTGAAATTAAAACATCAATTAGGCTGAGCATGGTGGCTCACACCTGTATTTCCAGCACTTTGGGAGGCTAAGGCGTTGGCAGGGGGTGGGGGCTGCTTGAGCCCAGTTCAAGACCAACCTGGGAAAACACAGTAAGACCTCCTTCCTCTCTAGAAAAACATACAAAAAAGGTTAGCTGGGCATGGGGGTGCATGTGTGTAGCCCCAACTACTCAGAAAACTGAGGCAGGAGGATACATTGTGCTCAGGAGGTCAAGGTCACAGTGAGCTATGATCGCACCACCGCACATCAGCCTAGGTGATAGAATGAGATTCTGTCTCACACCAAAACAAAAAAATCCATGAATTACACATCAATTTTCTCTGTTTCCATCCTATTCCTTACAACTGTTATTTTCATTCAGAAGCTCCATAGCATCAAGCTGAGAACCTTAAATAACTTATGTGTATGTAATAGCAGTTTGGAAAAAAAAATCTAAAGGATACACACCTTTGAATGATATAGTAAAGCTGAAGTTAAATGTTTTCTTTTTTTTTTTTTTTTCAGGGTCTCACTCTGACACCAAGGCTGGAGTGCAGAGGCGTGATCTCACCTCACTGCAACCTCCCACACCCAAGATTAAGTAGTTGTGGCTCACTGCAGCCTTAACCTCCTGGACTCAACTGATCCCCCTCACCTCAACCTCCCAAGTAGCTGGGACTACAGCTGTGTACCACCACCATGCCCAGCTAATTTTTGTACTTTTTGCAGAGACGGGGTCTTGCCATGTCACCCAGGCTGATCTCGGACTCCTGGGCTCAAGTAATCCATCTACCCTATCCTCCCCCAAAGTACTAGAATTACAGGCATGAGCCACCATGCCCAGCCCTACTACAAATAACCATTTTTCTATTATGAACAGGAACGGGTATGAACAGGCCAGTTAAATAAGGTAATGGAGAAACTGTAATATTCCTAATGACACAAAAGCCTTGGATTAAAATACATTAAGAGAAAGCAAATATGTAAGTATATCTGCTGGGAAACGTTAAAATAAGAGAATTTGAATTATCATCGGCACCATAAGAAGTGGGTGGAAAAAAAAAATCTTGAGAAGTCCAATTCCAATACAAACAGGAACCAACTATAAGTAAAAAACATATGACAAAGATTCAGTTGTAAAACATTTTTCTTTTCTCTTATTTTTTCCTTAATTTTTTTTATCATTTGAAGAGACAAGGTCTCGCTACACTGCCCAGGCTGGTCTCAAACTTCTGGGCTCAAACAGTCCTCCCACCTCAGCCTCCAAAAGTGCTGGGATTACAGGTGTGAGCCATTGTGCCCAGCTATTTAGTATTTTTGTTTCCTAATATTTTTCCTAAAAATCGGCCAGGCGTGGTGGCTCATACCTGTAATCCCACCACTTTGGAAAGCCAAGGTGGGTGGATCAACTAAGGTCAGAAGTTCAAGATCAGCCTGGCCAACATGGTGAAACCCCACCTTTACTGAAAATACAAAAATTAGCCAAGTGTGGTGGTATGCGCCTATAATCCCAGCTTTTGGGGAGGCTGAGGCAGGAGAATCACCTGAACCCGGGAGGCAGAGATCGCATTCAGCCAAGATTGTTCCACTGCACTCCAACCTGGGCAGCAGAGCAAGACACCACCTCAAAAAATGTATATATATATTAATGTGAAAAACAGTAAAGTTTTCATAGTAAAGTCACAACGCTGAAATAGATATGAAAGAACTGTACACTCTGTAAGTCAATGGTTCAAAGAATAACCATCTCAAAGCTTTTCCAAAAATAAAACAGGCCGGGCACGGTGGCTCAAGTCTGTAATCCCAGCACTTTCGGAGGCCAAGGCAGGTGGATCACCTGAGGTCAGGAGTTCAAGACCAGCCTGGCCAACATGGTGAAACCCTGTCTCTACTAAAAATACAAAAAT